AGAGAGAGAGAGAGAGAGAGATTATAATTCATGACTTACATTGAAAAGTTGTGAAACAAATAAAACAAAACGTTTAAAAAACACAAAACAAAACAATTAAAAACTTAAATCACTTTTGATTTTTCACTTTCCAATTGTCCCAAAAATATAATGAAAACAAAACAAAAATATAAAATAAATTAAAACAAAAACGTTTTCATCGATTTCTCCTCAAAATAGTTTGGATGAGTAGTGAAAGCAATGGTTATATAAAATGGGATTTCAATGTATTTATAAATAACTATTCAACAAAAATAAAATACTTTTTTATTATACATTCAAACAATAAGTTACTAAAAATAAAAGTTTCCAATAAGAAAACAAAAACTTTTATTTTTCAATACATAGACAATACATATAGCGATAGCACTGGGCTTGAGAGGGCACAGGTATGTGTTTAGGGCACAGCTATGTACAGTACAGTCAGCCCATCAAAACAGGTAATATATAATGTAACATAGATGTGATGTACAGACAGTGTTAGGTATACTGTATACTGTACAGGTATATACACACAAAACGCCTACACTATTGAATGGCAAAAATCTAAAGTCCTTTAAACTTATCATTTTAGGAGTTGTGCATTAAAAATAGGCTTTCGGTTTAATTTTAACCCTTATTTTTCGTGGTAAAAGTGATGAATCTTGATACTAAATTTATCGTATTGGTATAAATATAGATTTATGCATAAATATATATTGGTTAATAGGCATACATGTATATATCATTTATATAAAATTGGCGTATAATATATTCCGCCTATAAATGCGGTGATATATTCTTAACCTCAATATTAAGCCTATGGGGCACTACAGAGAGAGATGAGGCACATCTCAATCATGTTGTATTTCGTTATGAATATAAAACAAAATAAAGCATAATGATCATTTAATTTTTATTATTATATAATTCTACCACATTCAATGACTTTTGCCAATGACTTTCAAACACACTTTTCACTCAAATATAATGCACTCGTATTACTGCCCCCGTAATACAGACAGACACAGGGATCCGGCTATAGCTCATAGGCATATACATAGGTATATAATAATAAAGGTGTAGTAATTATATTAGTATACATATGGTAACTAACCTTTTCAAAAATAATGATTTTTCTGGCATCCCTTTCCCTTTACTCTCCCAATCAATGCACTCGTAGTTCATTTGCGTTCACTTTCACCCAATAATTCAAAGTTACATAAGTCTAATAACTTTTATTTTGTGATGGTGATTATTTTATAACAATTATTAAGGTGTTGTTCGGGTTGTGGTTTGATCGTGATATATTTTGCAATTATGGCACTGTTTTAATGCAACCTTTACCATGCTAAATTAATGGTTTGTGTTTTTAACATTGGTGGGCTTCAGATTTACACATTCATATACTGTCTACAAAACACTCTATGTTAAATTAACATTGTTAATGTTATGGCATAATAGGATCATTGAATTGTATTGCAATTTTACATCGCTTGATTTATGCTCTCGACCCTTTTTGTGTGTTGTTTTAATATTTATATACACCTATTCATTGACAACATCTCTCTCTCTCTCTCTCTCTCTCTCTCTATGATGATGGTCATAAATTATATTTCAGTGAACCTCTCTCTCTCTCTCTCTCTCTCTAATTATAATAATGTCATTAATTATAAGTTTGTTTTGTCTGTCAAATGATATTTTTGTCAATATTTTTGTAAATATTTATTCAGACTTTTTCATACAAATTAAATATGTTTTTTGTGAACAAAATTAGTTATTTTTAAAAACTTGTATTTTAACCATTGTGTTTATAGTATCGAGAGGTTCACTGAAATATAATTTATGACCATCATCATGATGGAAAACTTTTATTATTTAATTTATTTAATCATCTGATTGAGTAAATTATAATTATATATATTTTTATTTCATGATAACACTTTTGGCGCACTAAAAATGCATGTGATTTAAAACTTATGATTATTTATGATTATAAACTAGTAAATTATTCTAGTTGAAATAAATAAAAAACTTACATGTGGTGTTTATGTTGACCAGTAAATAATAATTAAAATTTTTAAACACAAAAACAAAGTCACTAGATTGTTGTGTTAGTATGAAAATTACACAGTTTGTTTTTCAGTTTATTAGATCATGTGATTAACTGTATTCACATCAATTAAATCACGGTAATTACCATCATGTGTATTATACAGTTTTTTTTCACTATGATCATTGATTTGATCACAAGTTTTACATGTATAGTTTGCGGTGCGGAATATTTACGATAGTTAAATAAGTGTCCATTAATTTATTTATATGACTTGTATTCATACACTCGTAGAATATTTTAATATAAAATTTTATTAGATATTTATAAATATTTACAAATATTAGGGGAATTTATTTTTATATATGCGGTACAGTATTATATCACTTGAAAAATCACCACTTTATTTATACAAATACTTTTTTCTCGGTAATTGAATGACAAGAATATTAATTAGGATTTCATTTATTATTTACTATTAATATTGTTATTAAGTTGTGAACAGAAAAAACATATAAAACTTTTTTGTCAAATCAATTATAAATCTGTGAAAAACACTAAAAAAAATTACTTAACATTTATTTTACATTTAAATATATAATAAATATGTCAGGCCGGGGCTTAAACCGTACAGTAACCACGACACTTTTTCTACACGGTATTAACTTAAGACGATTTTAGCCCAAGTAATTGTCACGATTATACTGAGCGACCACGATTGTTTTGGAATACGTAAATTCGAATTCTGCTAAAATCGCGTGTGCCAAAATCGGGGACGTTCTGTATCATAATTGAATTCTGCTAAAATCGGGTTCATTAACAGTGCTAATATGACTCGCTGGTGCTAACAAAACCTTATGCTAAATTCGAATTCTGCTAAAATCGCGTGTGCCAAAATCGGGGACGTTCTGTACTTCAGTTTTCCCCGTTATTTCAAAGACAATTAAATAAATTAAAAATTCACATTTATAATACTATAAATAATAGCTATTGTGATGAATTGAATACAATTATTAAAAATTAAATTAATTAAATGTTTTATAAATTATTATTCGACATATTTTCACAAATATATAAAATATTTGCCATTTCTGTTAAAATTCATATCATTATAAATATTATTATAAAAGGTTTTGTAGTATTACTACAGTATTATTGTTGTTAATAAGGATAAACATGGGATCAGATGTTTTACATTAATGAAATACCAGTTCCCCTCACAAACCAAGTCTAACCAGTGATTGCATTATAAATCTCTATCCACTCGTCAGCGAAAAACTGCGCTAAAAAATAAAAACAATAAAACATTTTCTCATTTCATTTTCATTATAATTTTGAAAAAATAAAATTACAAAATAATAAAATCATATAATAATGAAGAAAAAGATGAGTGAAAAATGTTTTACCATATTTTAAACAAGAGTATTATTATCTATAACTATAAATATATAAATAAAATAACCATTTATTATGTGTTCATTGGCTGTTGTGATGGGTTTTAAACAATTTATAATAAATTTTGTTTTGCTTTTGTATTACAATTCACATTCAGGATTAAATTATCATTATAATAGTATTTATAAAAGCATCTATCTCTTCAACTCTCTCTCTCTCTCTCTCTCTCTCTCTCTCGTCAGCGAAAAACTGCGCTAAAAAATAAAAACAATAAAACATTTTCTCATTTCATTTTCATTCATTGATGTCACTTTTAGCAAAGATCCGGTGCTTATAATACCGGAGCACTTCGCCCTCTCTCTCCAGTATGTCATTGAAAATCAAGGCTATAGTCTGTGGATTAAATTATATTATACATGTATAATATTTTATATATCCGTACAAAAAAACGCATGATACTAGTGAACAATATAATTTATTTTGTTGTTTTATATTATTCTAGTTAATTATTATATTTGTAGTTACCAACCAGTAATTAAATATATGTTTGAAAGCATTTAGAGACAATTGAATGATGGTATTTATCTTTCAGTCTTCGCCCTTCATAAGAAAAGTTATTAAATATAAATTTTATTAATTTTTATTTTAACTATGTTTGATTTAATTTAAAGATTATTGTGTCAATCTTTATTATGTAACTATAATACTGTACACCGATTTTATTATAATATTTTTAAAATTAAATTAATGTTAATTTCTACTATACTTGTCATATTATAAGTATTTGTAACCTGATGTTTGGCAAATTTTAATTAAATTTTAAATTTATATTGTTATACTTTAAATTATATATTAATTCTTTTAACTAAAGTATTCTAAACGTTACTTTAGAAGTACTAATTAAATGTTTTTTATATTTCTTAATTAAAATTTTAGTTATCGTATTTAAATTACATAATTAATTTAGATTATAATTGACTTATTTAGATTTATTCAAAATAATATGAATATTTTAATTTATTTATGATTTTAAATAATTTTTTATATTTAAATGATAAATTTATTATAGCCAAGGTGTAATTTATAATTTTGATTGTTTATTAAATTAAAATAATATGACAAATAAAATATAAATTTTTATAAATAAAAAATTAATATTAAAGTTGTATTACAAAAATATTGTATTCCTTAAATTAGTAAGGAAATTAAAACAATTATTGGTAATATGCTTTAAACAATAAGATCATACGTTGCTTCTGAGCCTAATCAACCATTAGCTCCGGGTAAACCATCTCAATAATTAGCAATTATTAATTATTGTAGTAAAAGCCTAACTCAATATATGGGTTAGGGTATAGTTCAAGGTATATTTAAATCAGTCAAATCATATTCTTAACTATTATGGTTGTAAAATAATTATTAAATAAAAAATAAAATACAAAAATTTTGATAAATAATTAGTTTTTATAACATAATAAAAATTAATAAAACAAACAAATAAAATGTGCATAAGATATCTTAATACAATATTATTCATTTATAAAATCTAGATAATAATAGTTTTTATGTAAAAAAATTAATAATTAATTGCTAAATAGAAAAAACATCTGCCATTTAAATAACACCATCTGTAAATTTATAATAATTGTATTGCTATAACTGCAAATATCACCTCAATTAACTGACCAAGTTACATTCCACAGTAATTATAATGACTGAAAAGGGGGCGGAAAATATGGTCGAACCGACACAAACATCGGCCACAAAAATATACAGCGGTTCCGACGATATCAACGATAAGTGCTTACAATTATGCCGACGCTATTTGGCCGGAATTTGGTCGACAGCGACCGTACGGGTGCGGCCCGTGTCTGGCGGACGCACTAATCATTTATACTTATGTCAACTCACATCACGGGCAGCTCCGGTAACCGGCGATGCTTGCGATGATGAGCCGCAGCCCCGGGAAGTAATTGTCAAATACTACGGCTGGAAGTATGACTTTAAGATCGGTCACCCGACCGAACCCCGATTCAACGACCCGATTGTGATGTCCCTAACCTCTCATAAAGGGTTAGGCCCTTATGTGTACGGACTCGACCCCGAGGGCGAAGTGCTCCGGTATTATAAGCACCGGATCTTTGCTAAAAGTGACATCAATGACGAGCAATTGATGACTGGGTTGGCCCGACAATTGGCCACATTTCACGGCTTGAACGCACCGGTAGGTCGGAATCGAGACTGGATTTGCAACTATTTTGAGCAGTTTTTGGCCGAATCGGGCGATAAAGTTAACGCTATGCTGGAGGCTGTGCTCCGCGAGTACGGCTGTCAGCTCCGGGAGCCGACCCTTGACCTGAGAGCGGAGATTCAATGGCTTATCGACAGCATCCGTGGCCAGTGGTCTGACGGGCCGTTGGTTTTCTCCCACAACGGCCTTAAGTTCAATAACATTATAATCACAGACGAGGAGGGGGTGGAGGGATCGGCACCGGGAGAGAAGGCAATGATGATTGACTTTGAGTTCTCCACGTATGGCAACCGTGGCTACGATCTTGGTCAGTTTTTTATGCCCACAGTTGAAATAACCGCTGATGGTCAAATTGAGTTTACGGCCGAACCGGCAATGAGACAATTCATCCAGGTCTATCGCCAGGAGAGTGTCCAACTGTATGGTTCCCAGTGGGCCACTAAGCCGTATAATACGGCCGACTATATCCTGAGTCAGTTTAAATTTTTTATGTTAGTTTACCGTATGTTTACAATATTACTTTTCTTGAGTCCCGATACTCGTCGGGAATTCCCGGATCGCGATATTGTTAAACGCCTTTACAATACAAATGTTAATCAATTTTTGCCCCTTAAGCGCCATTTTATTGAGCATGGTGTTATTAAAATGTAGCAATATGAGTTTTATTTAATTGCACTTGCACAAATGTTATTTTCTAATTATAATATGATAAAATAACTTTTTCAGGTTTTATATAACAATGTAATCTTAGAAGGTTTTAAAAAGGTAAATTTATAATTATGGGTAATATTACAAAATCATTTTATTAATTAAAAATATGATAAATTATTAGTAAAACAAAAACTATTGTATTAATATTGTTGTTTTAAGTAATTTATAATAAAGACTAATTAAACTAAACAACATGAACTACACTATTTTAATATTGTTTTGGCTGAATGCGCTAGGTAATAACATACAACAATTATAAACTACAACCATTACAAATGCACATGATTAAACACAATTACCTTGTTAATGTAGCTCACGTTCCCAGCGTAACAATGGTAAGCCACGCCACAATAAGAGATTACCCTGGTGTTTCTATAAGCGGGTGCGGAGTGGCACATATGGGCCATAAACTAGAAGAGGGGTGTTTCAGTTGGCACACTAGTAACGGGGCGTTGGCTAACGTACGCCGGGGACGACCCGCGGCTCCCGGAGAGGTCCCGTGGATTGTATACATTACGGGCACACAAAACGGAGTGTAATTATTTTATGTTGTTTATTATTTTAAAATTATATATTTAATATCAACTTATTACATCAAGCTTCAACTTATTTATTTGACTATATACAATTTAACAGTATTTGATTTATTTAATTACCATTGTTAATTTAATAGCAATTTCTCAGCGTCAGGAACTATATTTAATGAGCGCTGGATTATAACGGCTGGTCAAAATACATTGTAAGTTTTATTTACCTAGATACCTTTCTACTAAATGTAGTTATTACTCTATTTTATAAAATGCACAACTAAAATAAAATGTTATTTACATCACTCCCACACACACCTAACCACCAATTCAAATAAAGTTGCGGGCTACGTTGCACCGTAGCTAATTTGCGCATCTACCCTAGCGCGTTTAGCAGCAAACACTTGGAGCACACGCAATATTACGAGGCCAAGGATACACACGTGCACCCCATGTTTGAAACGTCCGATAAGGCTAACAAGGAGTATGACATCGGGCTAATCGAGCTGAACACGGCCATGGTGTTTGACCAGGAGACCATGACTCTGGCCAGACCCGTGTGTTTGCCCGATATGAACCAGATCAATCGTGACGGTCAGTACGCCCTTTTTGCTGGCTATGGCAATGTTGATGGACTGCCCATGGTCGGTTGGACAAGGATTAAGCCCTTTAAACCGGGTAAGGGTCGGACAATAGTGGCCACCCGGTACCCATCGCAGGCGGGCGAGTTTAAATGCAAGGTATACCATCTTGATTGTTTTGTAATATCTTATTATTATATTTAGTTAACTTATTATGTTTAAATTATACTATGCATATAATATATTAATGTTTGTGTTGTGACTATTTTACCAGACTATTGTTTATTGATGTTTATGTGGTGTTTTTACCAGGGTGACAATGGCGGACCCTTAATCCAGTACATTGACAATGGTGTGGCAATTTTGATTGGCGTCTATTCAGAAAATATGGTGTATAAAAACGGACAGTGTATGCCTTTGAAGGACAAACACAGTATGACATTCACTCGAGTATCAAGGCAGATTGAATGGATACTCAGAGTGGTCAGACGCAGGCTTAGTAAAGTTAGCATGCGACATTTAAATGAGACAACTAATAATAAATACGATTATCTGCAACATTAATTATAAAACACTTTTGAAATCTCTAAAATGAATCAATTGTTAATTAATTATTTACTATTACAAATAACAATTGTTTTTAATAACTTTTAAATATAAAATACATGTTAAATTATAAAATATAATCTTAGATTACTAATCTATGTTAATTAATATTTATAGCTAGAATAAACAAGATATTATAAATTAAATTATATTAAAATAAAATAGAATAAATTTTGATCTGATAACATCCAAAACATTAATTAAAAACAAGCTTCATTTACATAAGTATACATTTCTTATTCTTTTTCTTATAATTTCGTATTTTCGTATTAATTACATTGGATTTGATGGACACCACTTGATCGAGCGATTCAGTAGTCATTTGCTTTGTTTTACATAATAAAAACTTATAGAAAAATGAATTGGCATTGTTTTTAAGCATATCCAACATGCCGTCAAGTCTAGCAGTGTTTTCCGTTATTAAACCTCTACCTAATGACCAATGGCTATAGTCGTCTAATATCTGACGACTGGTCGGTCGGGAAATAGCCCTTGTAGCAATCATGTCTTGAACTATATGATACATTTTAGTAAAATTAGCCGATATAACTGTATCATTGTATTTTTCACTATATAAACGAGAAAAAAATTATTAATAAAAAATTTTGGCAATCATAAATGACGCACCTCTTGTTAAAATCGTTGCAATCAAACAACTGCATCGCCATAATGCCCAGGCTATAAATGTCTACTTTGATGGTATACCGAGGCTGATATAAATCGGGAGCCATATATGCCGGTGTGCCTACATTTCCGGTATGGGTCATGGATGTTGATGATGTATCGTGATCGGCGGCCAAGCCAAAGTCGCCTAGTCTTATAAATCGGTTATTGTTTATATTCGATGAAATCAATATATTTTCCGGCTTGAGATCCCGGTGGATTAATGGCGGATCAAATTCATGTATGTACTGGACACTTTCTAAAATTTCTTTGAATATTTCGCAGAATATAAAATACTCAAAGACATCCATCGGGTTCTCCGGAAGTCTGTCAAAAACAACTGATTTGTCCATAAGTAGATGCCGTAAATTTTGGGTACAAAACTCCATTTGTATAAATAGATAATCGGTTTCAATCCACGAGTTGTAATATTTGACCACAAAACCGATACAAGTTTTGCTAAATTTTTCACTTCTTTTACCATACGATTTTGCTTCTCTTCGCTAAATTCTAGGGCCAATTATTAATTCATTAGATTTGAATTTGTTTACACAAAAAAATCAGATAATATATTTACGATTACCTCCAAATTGAACTTGTTTAATTGCATAAATATTTGCGTCTAATTTATGCTTCACTTTAAATACTGATCCAAATGAACCCGAACCTATGGCTGATAGTTCAACAAAATGGTGTTTATATATGCCATCGCTTAATATATCATTTAAACTATTATGAAGTTGATTGTCGCTATCAGTAGAAACATCAGTATTATTTAATTTGCATAATAAAAAATCGTGGAAAAATGAATTGCTATTAGATTTAAGCGAATTTTTCAAATCATTAAATTCTACGTCATTTGCCGTAAAAATATTTGTATTGAGAGACCAGTGATTATTGGTTTTACAACCAGAATCAGTATTCTTCACATTTAACTTATCGATTGCCCACTCGTTATGTTTGGCCAACACTTGTCGACACTCAGGCCTATCGTCCCATACAGGGTATACCATCATTGACTGCAATATCTTATGTAAACATGCTGCGCGTTCTTTTAATATGTGAGCGTCTGAGTAATTATTTATGGTTCTGCAATTAATAATGATATTATTTTAATAAAAATAAATTATTTAAAATCTGGCTATTTAAATTTTTTGTACTTGTCATTTACTTCTACATCAAATAATTCGCCACCAATTTTTGCCAGGCTAAAAATATCACACTTATGATCGTACTTTTTATTTACCACTTCTGGTGCTTGGTACCTTAGATCACCAACATCGCTTGTATGTTTTTTACTTGACCTATAGTGTATGTTTCTGTCGTGTACAGTAGCCAAACCGAAATCGCAAAGTTTTAAAAAACGGCCTCGGTAAACATTATCAACATTTAAATTCTGTGCAATTAGAATATTTTCTGGCTTAAGATCACGATGGATTATTTGTGGTTTTAATTCATGTAAATATTGCACGCATTCCAAGATTTCCCGAAACATTTCGCACGATATGTAATACTCGTACGCATTCATGGGTTCATTAGGTGATTTGTTGTTATAATAGTATGATTTCTAGGATTAATTTTTAATTTATTTAAGTTTTTAATTAAATTAATTTTCAAAATTTATAATAGTATGATTTCTAGAATTAATTTTTAAACTCTTTTTTAAATTTATTTATTTATTGGTTTTTTACAATTATTATAAGTTTTAATCAAATGCCGTCTCATTCATGTATCTGTCAAGTATATTTAAATTATCTAAAGCTATAATTTCACAATTTCTTCTATATGGGTGTTTTTTAAATTTGTAAATTACAACTACAATTAGTATAATAAGTATTGTCACAGTTACTAATATAATAGAAATGATCGCAATGAATTCAATATTTGATGTATCTTCTAGAATTTCACTGTTGATTACATTTAGTTGTGTTGTCACTTTAATATTAGGCATAGCTGTTGTACTTATAGACATGAGTATTTGATTAGAAAGCATAGGTGATGATTGGGTAGACATATGTGTGGAACTGGTTGGCATTAGTGTTGTACGGGTAGTCATTGGTGGGGGACGTGTTGAAAAGTGTGTTGGGCGAGTAAGCATAGGTGTGGGTCGGGTAGAAATAAAGAGGGAATGGGTAGGCATAAGTGGAGGACGTGTTAACAAAGGTGTAGGACGAGTACGCGTAGGTCTGGGTCGAGTAAACATTGGTGGTGGTCGGGTTGTCATAGTTGTAATACGGGTAAGACTAGGTGTAGGATGTGATGCAAAAGTATAATACTTGTACGTGTAGGCATATGGGAAAGACGGGTATTCATATGGGTAAGACGGGTAGTAATAGGTGTGCGATGGGTATGCATATGTGTGGGACGGATAGGAATAAGTGGGGGTCGGATTAGCATAAGTGTCATGGGTAGGTGTATGCCGAATTGTAAGCATTGGTGTGGGTATAGTAGGTGTATATATGAGACTTGTAGACATAGTTGTGGACCGTGGAAACATAGTACTTGGTTTGGTGTGAATAAGATTGAATCGAGTAGACATCATTGTGAGACGAGTAAGCATAGGTGTTGATGTGGTTTTTGTTGACAAATAATTAATTGAATAATCAGGTGTTACATAGATTGTTTGTTTTGTTGACATTCCATACTAAATTAATGTAATAATTATTGATAATCAATTAATAAAATATTGATTAATATAAACTTTTACCTCCTTTTCATATTCTTTATAATCAAAATCAAAATCGTCCTGAGCAAATATAAGAGTTAATAACAATACTAAATATTTCATTTTTAATAAAGAAATAACTTATTAAATTGATATATTTCGTTTATTGAGATATTTAGTTTATATGCATAAATTAAAAGTTATACAACTAAAATTATATCAAGTAAACTTATTATAATTGTAATTAATTCATGAAGTTAATGTTTATAAATTTATATTATAAACAGGATAAATTTGATAGTTGTTTAAATATCAATAAAAATTTTGTAGCAAATGTTATTCACAAACAAAATATTTTACAACATTAAATTATTTATAAATTTAACAATAATAAATTTAATAATGTGATACATAACTGCACTTATATAAATACCTTACGATATTATGAATTGTTATTAAATTTTAAATTAATAATTAATTTGATACAAATTTTTATAAAATTTACATATTTGATTATAAGTTCTAATTTAAATTAAAAAAACAAGCTGTAAAAGTGTAGAAAACATATTTTATACTAAATTATACACAAATTTGCCGATGATATGATGGCCGCCGGCGGTCACAAACCTTAAGTTATGATTTGTTATACAGTATAAATGAGATTTAAATGCAATTAGACCATGGTCAACTCATGGCCTACCCGTACCGGGTGCGCCCGTGTGTCGTACTTTTGTGCAAAAATATCATATTTTTCAAAATATACACAAATTTGCCGCTTATTTACCGATGATATGATGGCCGCCGGCGGTCACAAACCTTAAGTTATGATCTGTTATA